GCAGAGAAACACCCCCATAACAGGATATTACCACCTCCATGCTTTACTGTAGGAATGCTGTTATTTGGATGGTGAGCTGTATTGGATTTCTGCCAGACATATCGTTTGGTGTTGAGGTCAAATAATTCAATTTTAGCCTCATCTGCCTCAGAATCTTCAAGGTGCATTTTGGCAAAGTTCAGTCGTGACTGCATGTGGCCTTTCTTGAGGAGTGGCTTTTTTCTTGCAACCCTCCCATACAAGCCACATTTGTGGAGAATCTGTGATCTTGTTGTCAGATGCACACAATGATCACTCTTTGTCATAAATTCCTGCAGCTGCTTCAGGGTTGCTGTAGGCCTCTTGGTCGCCTCTCTGACCAGTTTTCTGGCTCTTTTATCCAGTTTGGAGCGATGTCCTGATCCAGGGAGGGTCTGCGTTGTACCAAATACCTTCCACTTCTTAATAATAGACTTCACTGTGTTTCTAGGCATTGATAAAGCCTTTGAATTTTTTTGTATCCATCTCCTGACTTGCCTGTCCACAACTTCATCCCGGAGATCTTTTGACAGTGCCCTGCCACCCAGAGTTGATTGTTTGCTTCAGTTGCACTACCAAGGACTGAAATGCTCCAGCAAAGCTCTTTTCATGCTGAGCTTTTCTGACATGTTGGGTGTTTTATTTATCTTTCACTTGGATGCTATAAGTTGCGCTGAGTAAATACAGTTGAATAAAACAAAAACGGTGTTCGTCTTCATTTCAGGCTGCAAAGCAACAAAATCATTTTAAGGTGGGGGGGATTCTTTTCTATACCCACCCACTGTATTTGGTACCGAAAGCAATATCAATTATTAAATTTTATTTAAATAGAGGATACATTAAAGTTCTAATCTATTCAATTCAATACTATTCTCCAGCACAGAGCAGCTATATTAATGCTTAGCACACCCAGACACAGTCTGAAGATTCTTCTCATTTTGGGGGGAAAACATTGGTGGAATTCTACAGAATGGACACTAAAATCTGTTAAACATTGATAACCGAAACCACAGTCAAATTTACTAAAATATTTCATAAACAAATTTGCAAAGGGTGGGGACATGTGTAGAATAATAATGACAGACGTTCCAACTTCAAACTGGAAATTAGGCTGGGCAATTAATTGAATTTTATTTTCAGTTATGATTTTTGCTTTTCAACAATTATGAAAACAAGCTAATCAAGATAAAACGATTATTGTGCCACATTATGTTTCTCAATGATGTGGTTTAGATGTATTTTTTATTAGGCTCTGGATGTGCACAACCTGTACTTGTAAATAACCTGTACTGTTATTTGTTTTGTATTATATGTACGTATATACATATAAT